ATATATATATATATATATATATATATATATATATATATATATATATATATATATATGGTTGAAAAAAATACACTTACCAGTATTTAAGACATGTATGTCCATAGGCCTGCGGGTCTCATAGTCCTCCCCTGTGCAGTAGCCACCAAAAGAGTAGATCTCATCTTTGAGATTAACTGCAGCATGGTTGACTCTACGTGGTCCACCTTCAAGATGAACAGTCCACCATGGCATACTGGACACTCCTTAAACTGATAGTTAATACTGTGAAGTAGGTTTATTCATAATCTCCGGTGAAACTGATGGTAAAAAAGTAAATCATTTCTAATGAGATTAAAATTTTCACATACAGTTATTGATCTACAGATATTATGCTTTCTGTAGTTGCAATCTGATTCTATAACTGGAATCATACAGTTCTAAGTATAGTTTCACATGACACCACATGCACTGATTAATAATTGTCTGCTTATGAAGTTATGTATATTCTTCGATCTTTACCACACCCATTAATAGTTTGCAAAATATCTTTCTATGGACTATGGTACAATAACTTTTCATAGACTATGGTACAATATGGTACAAATACACACACAGGAGTCCATACAGATTGTCATAATGTTTTTTTTGGTCTCAAAAGAACTCTTTTATCCATTTCTCCCCTCTTCTCCTTTATTCATTATATCCGTAGGATAAGAAATATATATATATATCTAGGATTTTGCTGTCAGTTGATGCAAGTTTCATTTTTGGTAACATCAGCACTTGATTTATTGGGTTTCCTGAATCCTGGCGTTCATGCAGGTAAAACACCTAACTTTACCCAGTGTGGGATATCTCTGTAATTTGATACAGAACTTCACCTTGACTGCAGCAAAGAGGGGTTTACTGTAGTACTGGTTCTCACTTCAAAGCTGTTTGAAGGGGCGTCAATTGTTGTCATTGCTTAAATCTACCTTAATCAGGTTGCAATGAAGGGAAAGGCCACCTATCGGGAGCTTGTATATTCAGCATTCAAACTTGACTTTTTCAAGGTTATGCTAAATCTGGTGACAAATGATATCGAGGGTAACACTAACAGTTACAACTTACTAGCAGACCGTTGCATCTCGTTCATAGAAGCATTGACCTCTCTGTATATGATAAGTGCTTGAAACATCAAATTCAACATACCTTTTGTGTCTTATGCAGTATTCCTTGCAGTTTCACGACACGATATATTTATACCTAGATTTTTTTTACCTGCTCTCCATAAAGAACAGCTGACGGACACTGCGTCATTTAATTTTGCTCCCAAGATAGGATAGCTTCAAATTAAGACATGATAGATTTTAATTTGAAAGTGACCAGCATTTTTCTTAGCAATGAAGGTTACACTCATTTCAGATCAAAACATTTCATAGTATGAGAATATTTTGTGATAAATAATGTGGGTTCGAAGTGTCATCTTGGACAGTGCGCCACCTATGTTACTTGGAACAACTTATAAACATGGCAGCGCCGTGGCACAACGTGTTTCTTGGTACAGAAACTGGGTTCTTAAAAGGTAAACAAATTAATAGCTTGCAATAATGATTTGAGCTCAATGGGCCCAATATTGTATACTTTTCAATATTCCCCCACTGTCATAAACCTTTGTTTCTCAATATTTTTCTAGCTTTGCAGTGATTTTGTTCAACAGGAGTTCATGTTTAGTGATTGAGTGCCTACTCAACGTCACACATGCTTGCTGCAATACACCCCCCTCACAAATACACACACACACACATACACACACACACACACACACACACACATCAAATGACTCCTTAGCCTGGCTGAGAGAGCGATTTCAGGAGTGACAGATCAGTACAATGTAGGAAGTGTAACATTGAGTGGGCACAGCATTTTTATCTATGGGGGTATCTCAATGATAATGTGCCAGAACAACCAGTAAACAATTAATGAACTGAAGGTGGCAACCACATCAAAAATCAGGAAATGTGTTCAATTAATTGACAATTTTTCACAATGTACCTCCTTTGCAAGTATGCCTCCAATACTGCATAAGCCATTTGAAACATTTTATAAAGAACATAACTTTTATGCAGAGTGACCAAGATAACTGAAAATTTGGGGAGTTATGTTCTAAAATGGAAGTCCAGCAAATTTCTTTCTTGATGGGTTCTGTTGTTTTGGTGATCACCCTGTGTATGTGCTTGCATTGTTGTCTGCCTGTGCTACTTCTAATTCTTATGTATATTTAGGTAACAATACACACAGAGTTTGCATTATCATATATCCTCTCTGACTCTTAAATGCTCAAAGTCAGTGATAACAAATCTAAAAAACTGATTTGAATATTCTAATAAAATATGTTATTTTGCTCTGTAGGTGTAAACATTGAGAAGAAAATTTTTAAGAATTTAAATGAATCATCTGGAGTTGACAAAAATAAAGAGATCCTAGCAATGTGTTGGTGCAGTGATAAAGAAGACAAGGTAGAGACATCAGAAAAATGTTAATACTCAATGGAATAAATTATCATTTTTAAATATTATATTTTTTATGTGTAAAAAATTTTTAATTTATTTCTCAATGATATATATTTGAATTGTTTTAATGGTCATTTCTATGTTTAGCTGTTTTTTTTAAGGTGTTACAGAGACTTGAAAATTTTCTGGATAAATCAATTAATAACTTTTCATCTTCTAGATAAGCCTTGGTTTAAAGAACAGACAAGTCCAGACATTAAGCACAATAGACTATGGTTATGTAGGTTCCTTTGAATGTTCAGGAGGGACTGGGAACATCAAGGGGATGGCCATAAATGATGAGTATGTTATAGGATAACAGTCATATTAATATTTTTAATACTTGATTTGTTTAAGACTTTTGTGTATTTTTGACATGATAAATAAGCTATCAGTAAGTGTGTGTTTTAATTGGTGATTTAAAAATGTTATCAGGAAAACTATGAATTAGTATGAGAGCTACAGGTATTTCTTTCCATATCATGTAGAGAATTTAATACTCTATCTTGATTTATTTATTAGACTATGTTTCTGCTATTTTTTTGATTTAGCTCCATTGTCACTTGTGTTGAATCAGGCCTAGTATCTGTTTGGACTACTGAAGGTAAAGAAAAGGTCAGTGGAAAAATGTTACCATAATTTATTGATTTTATAAATGTTAATATCATGAATATAATGCCAAAAACTACGGTACCACAAAGAACTGTGATATGGGAGAATCATTTTGTACCCAATATAAAAAATGTGGTTTGAAGTTATTGTGAGATACTATATTCAACAGAGGAGTAATTTGAAAACTTGTATGCTGAATACAACCATAAAATGATCTTTTCCAATTTACTCTTGTAAAAAGTTTATTTGTAATTTGCAGAGCACCCCCTCCTACATTTTGCTATTCTTCATCTTTGCTAGGCCACACTTAATGCAGGAGACAAGATAGACATTATGAGAAACAATCCTCAGTCCCCCTGGTTAGTAGCCACAGGGGGTAACGAAAATGACCTGAAGGTGTGGGACCTGCAAAACCCAGGAGAGGCTTTATTCAAAGCAAAAAATGTATGTTTTAAAATGTAAATGATTTTAAAAGACAAAACTATATCTAGTCACAAAGGTGGGCATGTGTAGCATTGTAAAAGAATGCTATAAGGATATTTAATTTCTATGTTTATAACCTGTCTGCTGTTTGAATAATTTGTATGATGTTGTCATGATTAATATTTTTGCATTATGGTCAGTTTAGTAAGAAAAAACATCTTTCCAGAATTGCTTTTTTTCCACAATGTAATGAAAAGTAATTTTCTTGCTAGGTGAAGAATGACTGGCTGAATCTCCGGGTTCCAGTGTGGGTATCAGACCTGCAATTTATACCTGACAGTAAGAAGATTGTGACATGCACCCGTCACAAGCAGGTAAAGCACAACAGGTGTCTCTGTTAAAAGTTTTCAGTGTTGCAGCATTTGCATGGGGAAACAGCAATCTAACTTAGGACTCACTGGCGATGGCTGATAAAGTGGCGATAGATCACTTCAATACTAGTGTCTCTGTTAAATGTTTTCAGTGCTGCAGCATTTGCACTGTCGAAACAGCAGTCAAACTTGGGGACCATCTGATAACAATAGTGATAGATCACTTCAAAACAAATTCTAAAATTAAAAAAAATTTTCACTTGTGAACACAACTGACAACAAGGTACTTCAATTTTATTTGATTAGCATTTCACAAAATTTTACATGTATCCTTTCAGCTTTATTTGCTGACAGATTTAAAAGATATGACAGTTGTTCTTCTAAGGAGTCGAAGTACTTATAGCTAGTTTGTCTCGCATTATTTATTGCATTAATCATATTCCAGGTCAGGCTGTATGACCATAGCTGCTCCCAGAGGAGGCCACTTATAAACATAGACTTTGGCGAGGATCCTCTCACTGCCGTAGCTGTGACACATAACGAGAAGTAAATTATATTCCCTTGTATTTGTAGAAATTGTCCGAAGACTTAATTCTTATTTCATGGTTAAAAATCAAGTTGAGTTGCTTATTATTATTATTATTATTTGTTGTTGCAGTGCTAATATATGAATTTGTTTTCCTTCCTTTTTAAATTTTTTTAATGCTAAGTATTGGCTGATTAGGGCCTTATGTATTTTCTTTTTCTCTCCCCCTCCTTCCCTCCAGTAGATTAAAAATGCTTTAAGGCAGTATAAAGTACCTCTGTGGAGCTCAGATCAGGTTTATCTCTCTTTGTAGGGGTTGGACACTGAATCTGCCATTTTGTTTTGGAAAAGGGAGATGTAGCTACCCTTGCTCCCTCAATCTTGTATCTGACCTTGAAATGGGATTGCACAGCATTCTTTATTTTTGCTTCTTTTCAGTCAAGTACTTGTGGGTAGTTCAACTGGGACAATGGCTCTTGTAGACTTCAGAAAAGGTAATGGAAGGACAACTGAACTTTTATCAATTGTACCAAGTCCATTATGTCACTAATGCTGTCTGTCTTTAAACAGTTAAAACAAATGTGTTTTTTTTTTGAATAATTGAAATGCAGTTGTGGAAATAGGAAAACTTAAAAAATTGAATATTGCTGTCAAGACTGTATATATTTATTTTCTGTCTTATTTTGGTGATAAGTGATACAATGCATGCACAGCTTGTCAATAAAAGGTGTCATTTTTCTAGAATGTGTACTGTTTTCAGGGCGCATGGTGCAATGCTATAAAGGATTTGCTGGTGGAATTCGCTGTATTCAGTGTCATCCTACACTACCCTTAGTAGCATCTTGTGGTTTAGACAGACATCTTCGGATTCATGACACAAATACGAAAGAACTTCTACACAAAGTAAGTAGAATTGAAATAACTTAGCTTTCAAAACATATTGCTTACTCATTAACCATCAGTATCAAAGAAGAATTGGGATCAAACAAACTGTACATCACAATTTGCTTTTAAAGATATCATTGCATTGTGTGAATTTAAGTTGCCAGCAGTTCCAAAGGAAAATGTTATCATTCCTTTTTTTGCAGGTTTACCTAAAGTCCAGGTTAAACTGTCTGTTATTGAGAACAGAATGGACACAGGAAGACGAGAAAAATACACTGGACAGTTGTAGTGATGTTAAGAAAAACAATAAAACTGATAACAGTAGAAGTGACAGTAATGATGGTGAAAGTGATGGTGATTCTGATGATGATGATGATGGTTTATGGAATATGCTAGAAAAAGTTGGACATAAAAGGACAGGTAGACAAGAAAATCCCCAGATTAAAAGGAAAAAGAAAACATGATATTCTTAATTAAGAAGTTGGTGCTGAATCTTACCATTTATATTAACTATCTGAAAACTTTCATTAGTTTGGTCCAGAAAGAACAACAACAGGCAAAATAAGTGTAAGTTGTTGATAATGTTCTGATACTAACATGAGTTAGTCATTCCTGATGTTGAGGTGATTATTGCTGAAATTTTAAAAAATATGTCTTTATAAACAATTTTCTTACCTTTGTTTATTGTCTGTATATCTGCAAGCTTTGCTGCCTCATTTAGTTATAGTGACACATTTTGTTTATGCTTATTGGAGAGTAAGGTAATT